CTACAACAGACCACAAGAGCAGTCTCCAAGGCTGGGGGCACGGCCAAGCACCACCAAAAAGAGTAAGTAAATAAAAAGATAGTGTCCATGCATGGAAAGTGCAAACAGCTCCATTTCCAAAGTCAAGACAGGTATCCAAGAAGCGGCCTGTAGGGCTACAGTCTTCTTTCTTAGTCCCTCTTCCAAAGCTGTAAAGCTAGTACCTTTTCTGGATCAAAGCCTCAACACAGAGAATTCCAACACTGCTGGTCCATAACTTGGAACACGAAGTGTACATCCTTACTTGAGTACAGGCAGGAAGGAGGACATAGAAGAGAGAACCACAATTTTCTAAAACGATGTGTACCAGCACCCGTTTTTGAAAGAAAAGCAAAAAGCGCATTGTAGAAAGTTAATATTCCATTTTTATAGTCCAGGCTTCTGTTGGTTCTGCAGGTTGTGTTGTAATAAATCTGACTGATCATCTCCCATGTGCCTTCTGATATTTGGTTGCTCTGGCTCTGGCTCAGAAGTTTTTTTTTTTTTTTTTTTTTTGGTTATTGTTTTGTTTGAGATACTGAGGTTTGAACTCAGGGCTTCACATTTGTGAGGCAAGCACTCTATTACTTGAGCCACGCCTTCAGCCCTTTTTACTTTGGTCATTTTGGAGACAGGGTCTCAATTTTTTGCCTAGGCCAGCCTAGATCACAATCCTGGGATGGCAGGTGTGAAACACTGCACCCAGATACTGGCGGAGATGAGGTGTCAGGAACTTTTTGCCCTGCCTGGCCTTAATCTGGGGTCTTCCTGATCTCAGCCTTTAAAGCAGCTAGAATTATAAGCATGAGACACTACGCCCAGTTAAAACATGCTTTTGAAAGTGTAAGATTCTCCAGGCAGAAGTCGCAACACCTTGAGGGAAGCGCGCTGGTAGTAACTGGCTCTGTGAGGTGCAGGAGGAACTAGTTTCCAGCCATTCTGTTCCTCCTCCTAACTATCCTTTGCAACCTCCTCAGTTCTGTGTGAAACGTGCATGATGCATCTGTGTCCTCTTTTACTAAGATTTGCCTTTACAAGCCGGGCGCTGGTGGCTCACGCCTGTAATCCTAGCTACTAAGGAGGAAGAGCTCAGGAGGATCATGGTTCAAAGCCAACCCTGGGCAAATAGTTCAAGAGACCCTATCTTGAAAATACTTGTCACACACACACAAAAAAAAAAAAGGCTGGTGGAGTGGCTCAAGGTGTAGACCCTGAGTTCAAGCCCTGGTACCACAAAAAAAAAAAAAAAAAAGAAAAGATTTGCCTTTACAAAAGAGTCACAGCTAGGGATTGTGGAGAAATGGTGTGGCTGAAGAAGACAGAAAACAGTGGCCACAGCCTTGTCCTGCTACAACAGTATTTTATCTCAGGCTCACGTGTAAAATAATTTCAACAAGCCTCACTCAAGGCAAAGGAAAGTGAGGAAAGCCACACACCGACAATGAAGGGCTGGAGGAGTGAGATCTGCCTGCTGTAGGAATGTGGTCAGAGCTTCCTCCCTAAGGCCCCTTGGTAATTTCTAATCCATAAAACAGTATTATGATCTTCCAACTACCCAACCCCTTATTAAAAAGAAAAAAGTGCAAACTGCTCCACTTCCATTGAAAATGTCTCAGAACAGTCCTGAATATCGTCCTAGAGAAAATAACTTCAGAAGCTCTTTGGATCACTAAGCTAGGTGTGTGCTTGGATGGTTCAGGCAATCTAAACTTACAGAACTGGGCAAATAGGCAAAAGCCAGAAAGCTAGAAATGTTTGCGTAATACAACACCGTCACCTAGTGGCCAAAAGCTAGAGAACTGGCCAACGCAGCCAAATGATGAAAAGCTCGGGGGTCCTAACTGCCCAGACCTGCAACACACCTCTGCCTTCAGCAAAGCTGGGCTGTGAGAAAAGCAAAGGCTTTTTCCTCCATCATGGGGTGTTGAGGAAATGCCACAGAGAGTTAAATAAGCTCCTATCACTACCTACAAGAACAGGTGACCAACTGGCCAACACTTCCAGCTTGCTGAAGGTTGTAATAAGACAATTGGAAAGGGCAGGGAGGAGGACTAGCCTAGCAAGCATGAAGCCCGAGTTCAAACTCCAGTCACACCAAAAAAAAAAACAAAAGATGATTGGAAAATGGTATTAAAATCATAGTTGTAGGCTGGAGGTGTAGCTCAGTGGTAGAGTGTTTGCTTAGCACACGTGAGGCCCTAGGTTTGATCCCCAGCACCAGAAGCAATTATACTTGCAATACCACTGAAAACATCTCAAGGTGTCCTCTAGTTCCACACAGCTGTGACAAGCATTTCCTAACTAGAAAAAGTCAAACTTAAGACCATGGAATAAAAGCCAACACAAACAGTTTTCTTTATTGAGGGTTTTCTTAGACCCTTTAATATTTGATTGTACACTATCATCTTGAAAAAGAGACAACAGTGTGCTTTCTTCCTTTTGTTTTTGCCTGGGCCAGCCTTAAACCACCATCCTCCTACCTATGCCTCCTGCCTAGCTAGAATTACAGACCTGCTCCACTATGCCCAGCTTATTTGCTGAGATGTGGTCTTGCTAACTTTTTGCCCAAGCTGGCCTCAAACTGCAATCTTCCCAATCTCTGCCTCCTGAGTAGCTGGGATTGCAGGCGTGCACCACAAGGCCCAGAACTTGTTTCCAAAATGTAACTACAGAATCCTTTTTCTGCAAAACATACAATGAGCAAACTCCCCCTCCCTACCAGGGGAGCAAGGTCAAGTAGTAGTTTAAGGACACAGATTTGGAAACCAACTGAATTGGAGTTTCAATTCTAACTCTATCATTGCATGTTTTAGCTTCTCTGCACCTCAGTCTCCCCATGTGTAAAATAAGAATGTAGTACCTACGTCACAGGGTGCAGTGCAGACTACAATGACGTCATTTATACAAACCATCCAAATGAATTGATAGCAGCTGCTATGCCATGTCCTTGGATTCAATTTATGCCCAGAGCCTCCTAACTCTGGCAAAGCAGTCAGGGGAAGCCACTGTTTACAAGAAAACACTCCAGCTATGCTCAAAGGCCACCTACATCCCCTCACCACTGTGTTCTGCTGGGCCCCTCCAGTGGGTGAGGGAGAACGCTCACTTACTGCCTTAGATTGGAAATGATGCTGGCCACTAACCATCTCTTCTGAAGCACTGGAAAAGCTTACAGCATTCATGAAACAAAAAGGAGAGCGCCTCACTGAAGTCCACAAATCACACACAGTACTTCCCCCAAAGCAGCTTAGAGGTATCAGAATTTTGCTTTCGAAACACTGTTTTTCTGTACTAACACAGGACTGAATGTAGAGGGTAAATAAGACCACTCACAAGTAACTCCGACCTTCTCTATTGGGATTGTGTGTGTGTGTGTGTGTTTGTGCATGAATTGTGTGTTCATGGGGAGGGAAATGATCTGAAATAGCTAAATACCTTACTGCTAAGGATTTTACTTTAGCATCCTTTTCTGCTCTCTCTGAAGTAGTAGGTATGATACACGTCCACTGGGATGCAAACATTCCAGGTAAACTTTCTTCATAGCTTTACATTATTCTCCATTTCCTTCTTCCTAAGTGGTCTCCTTTCCATATTCAGTTCTTTTTCACCATTTTCATTGTTTCTCCTTAATCACTCCCTGATATTCATCATTTTCAGTCATAGTACAAAAACCGAAGCATTTACTGACTCCCTATGTACCAGATATGTATTTTGTTTTGGGGGATTTTTTTGGCAGGGGGATAATATCCATGTTGCTCCAGCTGGCCTTGAACTCCTCGGCTGAAGTGAGCCTCCTGTTTCAGCCTCCCACATAGCTGGGACTATAGGCATGTCACCCAGCACCAGCTATACTGTTTATATCTTGAAGCATTATCTCCACTTAACCCACAGGGACCTGAGGCAGGAGGAAAAGGGCAGCAGGACACTGCCAGGTGCGGAATACAAGCCCCACTTTGGCACTAACCATACTCATGACTAGTTTGGCCACCCTTGGTTTACCCAGGACAGTGTCAGTTTGCACCTGTTGTTCAGATATGAGGAACAGCATCCCTTCCACCCCCAATGGTATCCTGGCTGGGAGTTTAAGCTATGTGCCATCCTATCCACAATCTATAGCAAAGTTCTTCAAGCTTCTGGCTCTTTTTCCATTGTGTGAAAAATACAAGGTTAGACAGCATTTTAAGAGGGTTTTTTTTTTTCCAAACTCTTTGTGATGTCCATTCTAGAGTTTAAAAACCCAACTTCTAAAGTACTCTAATTATGAAATTAAAGATCTTTTAATCTTTACCACCCTCAATAAACTAGTGAATGTTTCTCTAATCAGCTTAAATCCAACCTAAACACTGCTGTAACAGACATTTAAAGGTCAATGGACATGTCAGGAACTGGATGAAACAAAACTCAAACTGGAACCTACCCTCTTTTTAGTACTATCCTACTTCACTCACATCCTTGCTCCTCAGCTTGGAGACAATGCTCCAAACATACCAAACACGAATATTCCGAATGACTCTCGTTGATATTAAACACCCAACCAGCCAGACGCCAGTGGCTCATGCCTGGAATCCTAGCTATTTAGGAGGCTGAGATTAGGAAGATCGCTGTTCTAGGCCAGCCCAGGGAAATAAGTTAGCAAGACTCCACCTCCAAAAATAATCGGAGCAAAAAATGGAGTTCAAGAGGTAGAGTTCCTGCTTTGCAAGCACAAAGCCCTAAGTTCAAACCCAATCACAGACACACAAAAACCACCCAAGCAACACACATTTTCATCTAGGCCTACCTCTCCACCTTACAGCAGAAACAGGCCAGGGAGTTGCCTGCACACAAGGCCATGTCAAGACAGAACTCTGAAGTCCTAAATGGGAAGGAATGTCAACCATTCAAGGCAACAAGAGAACAGGAAATGGATGACAAGACAGAGTAGGACAACCCAATGTTCCATCACCCCACCTGCTCACACCTTAGGCAAGTAGAAAAACTGATTTTTGGAGTAAATACATTTATTGATACCCATTTCATATATAGTTCAATGAAATAATCTATAAATATAAAAGCATTTTTCTTTTGGATATCACCATGGTCCATGTAAATACTCAACAGTCATAATCATTTGCAGGAAGCACTCCAAGTCGCACTGTTAGGTTTACAGACCTGAATATATATATTTCATTAAACAGTGGCACTTACGTACTCAAGTGGTCCAGTGGCTTTGGAACATACATGACTACTGGGCATGTGGAGTAAAAATAATGTGTAAATTTAAATCAATGGAGAGGGTATCAACCATCAACAAAAAGAAACAAGTATGAATTCAACTCGTAGGCAAAGAAAGTACCACAGTTGACACCTGGTGTCAGAATACTGGAGACAAAGTGTAAGACAATACACATGTGGCACCACAAGTTCTCTCCAACCCCAGTGGACAGCCCACCAGTGCCTTAGGGTCATTCGTAGTCAACAGTCAGCAATTCTTAAAAGAATCTAGATAGCATAGAATAAAAGGTATGTAGAGGCTAATATCAAGATCAAAGAAAAGTGGGCTAAGTGTTTCAGTGACATGATGAGTTTTCCCCTAGAAGGGGTCTGTGGGGAAACCACTTTGTTTTAAATTCCCTTTGTTACACTGTGCATGATCATTTGTCGAAGAAGAACCCATACATCTGGTACCAAAAACACAGGTGCAAAAATTTTCTTCTGTTTCAAAGTTTTTCCTTAACACTTCCAAGGAAACTGATGCAGCCACTGCTGAGCCTTGCTCTCCACCTGATGCAGCACACAGACTTCCTCTCAGTTCTTCATAACAAATACAGGAATGTCTTTTGCGGAGTCAGTCGATGCATCTTTTGAGTTAGCAAGCAAATGCATTTAAAGGTCTTAGATACACAATGTCCAAAACTGAGATCTGAGAGGCAGTGTTAGAATGTAAGCAAAGCAGGGTTTTTAGAGACTAAACAAATGAAAACCTAAGGGAAGCATATAAAATTCAGTTTTTTCTATTATTTTCAGCTGGAATTGACAGCAACATTCCCTGGTAAGGATGGGTAACTGGTGTTATCTCCAGGTTCAAAATATTCAACTACTTAAAGTAGGACCCAAAAGAGGAGAAAGACACACTTGAGTTCTGAGGTCTCTAGAATTCTTTTTTGCCATTTTTTAAAAAAAGAAATAGTAGCTTCAGTTGTACACCGCTGGCTGAGGGGTTTTCATCCAAATGAAAAACTCTACCCCTTGTCTATAGTGGAACAGGCACCAGACTCCCACACGCAGCAGCTCCCATGTCCTGCAGCAGCACGTGGCATCTGGCCCTGGCGTGAGGACTAAGCTGGCACTGAGCCTCGGCTACTGGGATTCAGACTAGATGGCATTCCGTGGTGTGCCATTGTGTGCCAATGCTTTCAGGCTGGGGGCACTGGTCTGGTGACTGCAGCTCCTGTGAGAAGACACACCCACCTCAAAAACCTCATGGATAGCTTTTCGGAAACAGTGGAAGTTGTAGTCTATCAAACCTGCAAGACAGAAAAAGAAGATCAGGCCTCCTGAATGTCAATCATGACAGAAAACACATACACCCGTCTGTGTGGCCTTCCTGAACATAGTGTGATCTTTCAATAATTTATATTTGATTTCATGAGTCATTAAACACTTATTAAACAGTATGATAGAAGGTACAAAGTGTCAAAAGAAGCAGCAGATATAGTCCAGGCCTTCAAGGATAGGCTAGCTGGAACATAAAGCCAACACACAAGAAACGAATAAATCAAAACAATCTGGTGTCGATAAAGTACAACTGTGAAAGCAGGGAGAGCCAAGCACAGGGCACAGTTGTCAATGAAAGCTTCACAGATGAGGCAGAACTCTGAGCACACTGGCAAGACTTATTCACCCAGGAAAGGAAGTGAAATTATAAGAACATTGTAGGGAGCCTGGCAATAAGAACACCACACAGGTGGAAGACAGAAAAGACACCAGGCTGAGAACTCTTGGTAGAAAGTACTGGGACTCAGTACTGAATGAGTAGGTTATAACCAAATCAAGCCGATCCTTCAGACTCAGAGGGGAAAAAAAAAAAAAAAAACCCAAACTAGGGCTGGGAATGTGTTTCAGTGGTAGAATGCCTGCTTAGCATTTGTGAAGCCCTGGGTTTGCATCCCTGCACCACAGGGGGAAAAAAAAAAGAACAACTATAAAGGCAAGTGTGGGTCAATTCAGCCCAACTACATTAAAACTGACTTTTGTGAGCCAGCCATGGTAGTAAACACTTGCCATCCCAGCTACTCAGGAAGCTAAAGCAGGACTGATTGAACCTAGGAGTTTGAGGCCAGCTTGGGCAACATCGTGAGGTCCTGTCTCAAAATGGTGTGGTCTTCAACAGCATGGAGGTTCCTCAAAAAAACTAAAAACAGGACTACACTGTGACCCTGCTACCCTACTCCTGGGCATATATCGAAGGAATGTAAGTCAGCAAACGGTAGGAGACACCTGCACACCATGTTTATCACATGGTGTTCTACTCACAATACCCAAGCTACGCAATCAGCCTATGTGCCCAAAAACCAACGAACAGATAAGAAAATGTGATACATATACACAATGGAGCTTTATTCAGCCATAAAGAAGAATGAAATGTCATTTTTAGGAAAACAGATAGAATTGGAGATCATCATGCTGAGTGAGATAAGCCAAATATTTCATGTTTTCACTCATATGTGCACTCTAGACCTAAAATTATAATAATGGGACACAAGCATAAAACAGGGGAACTATTTGGGGGTGGAAATCAGTGGGAGGGGGAAAGAAGGGGTTGGGATGTGAACTTGATCAAAGTACATTATATGCATATATGAAGATAGCATAATGAAACCCATTAAATACTATTTAAAAGAATGGTGGAGAAGGACAGGGTTAAGAAAATAGTGGGGATGAATTTGATAAAGGATATTGTACAAGTGTACAGAAATATAATGAAACTCCTTCACACAGTTATTTTGCACTAATTTACATATATAATATACATATAAAAAATTTACATTTGTGCAAACTAAAATAAAATTGATAACCAGGGATGTGAACACTGACCAAATATTTAATAATATTATAAAATCACTGTTAATATTTTGCATTTATTAATGCTAATATTGTGGTATTTAAAAAGAGCACTATCTTTTAGAAAAAAATAAACCAAATGATTGAATGTCAGAGATTTACTTCAAAATAATCCAGTAGAGAAAGAAACATACAAATGAAGTAAGATTGGCTATGGGTGATAGATTAAAAAGAGACTTTTTTGGGCTAGGGGAGTACTCAAGAGGTGAAAGGTGCTTGCCTAGCACTGAGTTTCATCCCAAGCACCGCAAAAAAAAATAAAATAAAAAGGTATATGAACAAGTTACCAAAGAAACCTGCAAAACCGTGAAAAGGTGCTTGCTGTGAAAAGACACTTGCCCCTAATCAACAGTTAAACAGGCAAAATGAGAACCCAACAAGACAACATTTCACATGCACCAGTTTGACAATAATTAAAACAGTCTGACAGAAAAGAAGTGGTAGGGACTCTCATGTACAACTGCCAAGGTAAAAATGGTAATGTCACCTTGGAGAGCAGTTTGGTATTGTCTATTAAGATGAAGATAACATACAGTGTAGATTCCACTCCTAAAAACAACCCTAGAGAAATTTTCGACTTATACAAAGGCAAATTTGTTCATAAGCATTTGCCACAAAATTATCTGCAATTTTTGAAGTAGTCTAAATGCCTAGCAACAAGAAAAATTGTTGCATATCCAAACTATATGTGGCAATAAAGATGAATGATATATGTTATGGATCTAAATAAATCTCAAAACAACCCTGAATGAGGAGACAAAGGCAAGTTGCAGAAAATGACTTAGATGTAGGATCATTTATACAAAGATTACAATACACTATGATGTTGAGGGATAGAAAGGAAGTAAATGAGTAAGTCATGCATAGGAAAAATAAAATAGCACAAAGAAAGAGATGTAAATTGAGAGACACACAGAAGACATTAATTTTTCTTTTTCCATTTTAGTTCTTAAGCACGAAAGCAATACACTTATTTTTGCCTTATCAAAGAAATTATGTAGGGTTGGTGGAATGGCTCAAGTGGTAGAGCACCTACCTAGCAAGAGTGAGGCCCTGAGTTCAAACTCCAGTACCATAAAAAGAAAAAAAAAAATGTATATATCAAGTGTGAAGCCTGAGTTCAAAACCCATTTCCAAACAAAAATTTGTGAATATTTGAAATTTTTTTTAACACTTAGGCAGAAGAGTGGGATCCCATTGTAGAAAATAATAGAGAACTATTATAGGCCCTTGAGTACTTAACATGATTTAAAAAAAAAAGTTTTAGCTGGGGGTGTAACTTAGTGGTAAGGTACCTACTTACCATTCATGAGGCCCTAGGTTTAATCCACAGTACTAAAAAAATAAAAAATAAAAATCAGCCTGCCTTTGGATAAAACACACACACTAGATCCCCAACATATACATCAAATGCATGAGTAGTATCCAGCAAGAGGCTATTGCCCCACCACAGGCCCCGGGCTGAATACTGACAGTAGAAATAGAAAAGAAATCCAAGAAACAGTTCCAAGGAATATAAGATAAGATTTGGTAAAAATTCAATGTGAACAACACAGAAGAATGGAAAATAGGAGAACACAAAAATCTCTGTGAACCAAGCTGCAAGGGCACCGTAAGCAGTTAACACAATTACCTATGAGCTTAGATGCAAGAAAAATGGCCTAACTAGTGACAGAAGTAGAGTAGCCAAGAAAGTCATGAAACAGGGTAATCATGCATCGATGTGTGACACAATATCCTCCACACCAGAAAAAATATTTAAGTGAAGATGTCTCACTAACAGTTTCAAACATGAGTCTAGAGCATGAGCTCAAGGAAAAGCTAGAGATATAATTTTTCAGTCAGTCACAAACATTAACTTAAGCCATGGACAGGAGGAGCTGACCTGAAGAATAAGAAGTGAGCAGAAAGACTTGACTGAGGAACACAGAACTGGGAAAAAGAAAAGCAGCCAGAGAAAATAGGAGAGATGGTCAGAAAAACACACACACAAAATAATCCTACATATATGAACTATATGTAGGAAAGCAAACTGAGAGAAAAAAGCTTTGAAAAAGGAAAGACTGACAGGGCCACATGCTTCAGAAGGCTAGAGAGGCTGCAGAGTGAAAAAGGCCACTGAATGCAGCAACAGGGTAACTTGGTTCCCATCTGAGGACTAGCTTCGGTAGATTGGTTCTGATGGAAACAAGCTGCATGTAGAACAGCTAATAAAAGGATCTGAAGAAAGAAGGCTGGAATAGAAAACTCAATTTAAATAAAAGATCAAAAGAAGGAAAGAGAGAGTTTAGACTATATAGAGAAAGAAGGACAAAAGTACTTGAGCTGGGGCTGGTGGAGTGGCTCAAGGCTCAAGTGGTAGAACGCATGCCTAGTAAGCATGAGGCCCAGTACTGCCAAAAAAAGGTACTTTTGCTGGTTTATTTTTAAAGCTAACCACTTGTCGAACACTGAAATATTATTTTCTCATTTTCAAGAACCTGAGAAATCATGACAAAGAACGTAAGAACAGCTTTTGAAAATGCCCTTACCTTTTCGTTCAAAGCTTTCTTCCCTAAGAATGCAGACCAATGCCAAAAATTTAGTCACCTCCTTTAAATAAAGGACAGTTGTATTATTCAGCTTGATAATTGCCATAGATTCTTTGTCATAAGCACTTCCACTTCCATCTTCCTTTAACCTATTTTAAAAGAAAGTACTATTCATTACAGGTTTCCCAACTAGGCATTTTGTCACACTTAATTTGTACAGTGACAAGTCTTTCCACCCAGGTTCCCAAATGTCTTTTGAGAAAGAACACTGGCTTAAATATATTGGAACAGAGTTGTCATTTAGATACAGGACTCCCAAAAAGAATCGCAGGAATTCCTGTTAAAAGCAATAACAAAAAACTCCACACACATCCATTACTATTATAGATGATCATGCACTTGGAGAAAAAAAGTGAAAATACATGTAATCTTAACCAGGAAAATGACCACCTTTCCAACCTCATGCCGATGTTAGGCTACTTATCTGATAGTCTACAGGTTCAGCTGAGGTGCCTTCTTTCCTTACTTCCCTGGAGCCACACAACCCCCCTGGGACCTGTTCACCACCTCCACAAGCTCCTTCAAGGCATACTCTACAAGGCAAGCCAATCACACCTTTTCTCACAAAACCTTTTTGCTTCCTCACAAAGCAAGAAAATTATTAAGACCTCATAAGAACAGCCAGAGAGCAGTAAGAATCATGTTGAAATCAATGACTTTTAAACAGATGGTTTCTGAGAGTCTTATGTGATGTGCTTGCTTAGCAAAACTCTAAGCTATTAAAAGGAATTAAGAGTTGTCAAAAGTGCCTTTTTTAAAGAAAGCCTAGGGAGCGGCACACACCTGTAATTCCACCACTAGGAGTTTGAGGTAGGAAGACAGAGTTAGGGGGAGAACAACTGCTTAAAAAAAAAAAAAAAAGGTGAAGAAATATACTAAAAAGAAAATGTTCCCAGTACTTGTCTTTAGTAGTAGAACAATGTTTTCTTTCCCTCCTGTTTCACTTGTCTCTATTTTCCATGGAGCTGAATTTTCCCTGAATGAGGGCTTATTTTTAAACTATCCCGACCCTTACAGTTTACCTTTTCTTATGTTAATTTGATCCTGGAAACAGGAATTATTACTATAGCCCTATTTAACGACTTTAGATTCTTGCTGGAACAAATCAAACTAAACTAAATAAAAAGAAATAAAAGAACTATGCTCATTTTAGAGATGTATCAAGTGAAGTTCATTCAAAGTAAAACATGACCTCCTGGCAAAGTCAGAACTCAAATTTTGGGTTTTAAATTCAACTTCATACAGCTTTCAGTATCATTCATAGCTGAAGTAGACTGGGAAAGGTAAAGTGGTAGGGAATTGTCATTTGCTTTAAGAGTATAAAAGGAAACTACTTCCTCCTGATTGTAGAAGAGGAAGTGTTGTGTTCTCAGCTTACAGTTAGATGTAGATGCTTTGCTGTGCTACGTGGAAAGTGAAAACAGGCACTAATACTGACAAGAGGCCAACACAGACATCCAGACAAGGAGTCCCCAAGCTATCTATACCCATAGTCAGCTCTGGAAGAAGCTAGAAAAGCAAAGTTTCTAATGTCAAGCCAGTGTACGATCTTGAATCACACACTAACACGAGAAAGAAATAAGAAAGGCGTGTTTCAGGATGGGAATGTAGTTCAATAGAGCACCAGCTTGTCTAGTATGTGCATAGCCCTGGGTGTGACTCCCAGCAAAGGGAGAGGGAGGGAAGAAAGAAGTCTAAAGATTAGTCAGATTTGGATGATTAACAAAGAATTAAAATATCCTGGTGATCTTAAAAGGCTTGCTCAAACTTTCTATTATGTCTCTTTGATCATTTTTAAGACTTTTAAGCAAGTATGCTTATCTAAATGTTAGTCAAAATATGCCCAGGCAGAAGAAGGAAGGTCATATTCAAGGAGAACCAGATTTAAAAGCGGCATACCCCAAGGACTGCAAATGAGAGGGGGAAGAAGCCTGGTTAGAACTGAAATTATAAACTGAAAAGCTTATAGTGGATTTCATGGAATAAAATGTGTACCAAGTGTCAACAACAGACACTCCCTTCTGTGACCCAGCAGTATTCCACACATTCATTCATGCCTTCCATCTTGCTCACACCAGATGCATGGAATACAGAATACAGCAGGCTTCAAATCCTCCCTCATATTAATGTGCACTGACACAATCTGAAAGTAAAGATCTAAAATATGAAAACTACTAATAGTAAAAAATGAGAAAATAAAAAAACTAAAATAAATACGGTCTACTAAATATATTATGGAATCCTGATAACTTACAGTAGCTAAAAACAGAATTGTCAGAATTATATGTAGTCCCCCTCCAAAAAAAAAATAAACTAAGAAGCAAATGAACTATTAAGAAGCACATCAAACTGCATGCAAGAGTATGTTAAGAGTATGAAGACAGTGGATTTTTTTATAAGATAATTTATAGTGTGTGAATTTTACCATGTACCAAAGAATGAAAAATAATTTTATTACTAAATTTTATGTTTAGGTTATAAAAAAACTGATTTATGAAATTTTTATTAGCTTTAAAGAAAAAGCAAATGTTCTACTCATCTATTTTTAGAAATGGGAACATGAAACTTTACTGAGTAATATGACAGACATATCTTGTGTTCATTATGGAAAAAAAACAAAGGAGAGCCTGTAATCACAAAAGTGGAAAAGGAATAGACAGAAATGGGAAGACAAACACATTCTCCTACTTAGAGGCAGCTAGCTTCTAATAGCTAAAGTTCTGATTACCTTATTTCTTTGTACTCTAAAAAATTAAGAATCCAGCTGGTGAATTGGATCAAGTGATAGAGCACCTGCCTAGCAAGTGTGGGGCCCTGAGTTCAAACCCCAGTGCCACACACACACACACAAAAAAAAAGATTAAGAATTCCTCCTTCCACAAAACCTGATGTTAAATGAGGAACTAGCACTTATTTTGTTATTCAGACAATAAATTAATCTAGTTTTTTAATGTAACTAAGTCCAAAAAATGAAAAGACACAGTACAAACCCTCCAAATAATGGCAGGAGAAACTTTCAGTTTCAGTGTTAAATAAATCTAGCACTGGTCACTTTCCAAGTGCTCTCTGCCATCCTCTTTGAAAATGTAAGATCTAGCAGCTCTTCAAAAGAATCATGTTCCAAGATGAAGCACTATGGTCAAAACAATCTCACTTCGTAGAGCACTTGCCAGAGGCCTCAGAAACTAGAATGTTTTCTACCTAAGAGTTTACAGAAGTATGTATACAACTTACCCATATATACAAGACACATCAATTACAACATCAATCATGTCACAGCAAAGTTCGTAAGACTGCATATCCACAGGGGAACTGTCTGTTGCGATGTAGATTTTGCTGACAACATCAAAGAGAAAAGCTTTTTCAATACCTGAATTCTTGGAAAAACAAAATTGGGGAAGTGTTCAGTTTAAGAATCACAATTTGCAACTTATCAAAGACCTTGAATTACTGAAAACCATTAAGACCTTGAATTATTGAAAACCACTTTTAACTATTCATTAAAGGTCATTTTTCCCATGGTTTTGTTTTTTAATTTTTTGTGATGCTAGGGAGCAAACTGGGACCTTGCACATGCTACACAAATGCTTTCCTACTGAGCTACACACCCAATCCTAATGATCATTTATTAATTATATGACCTAATACCAAAAAATAAATACCAAAAAAAAAATGTGAAACATTTCTCTTTAACTGTCTTATTTCTTTTTTTAAAGACAGGGCCTCACAAAGTAGTCCAAGGTAGCCCCAAATTCTTGATCTTCAGCTTTCTGGGTGCTAGGATTACAGGCGTATGCTTCCACACCCAGACTGCAAGACATTTCTATAATCCAAAGAATAAAAGTGGAATTATTTTTCTGCTTTGATTTACTGACATAATTGCATGAAGTCAAATGTTTTTCTTCTTTCTCTTAAATGAATTATTTTCTAAGATACCACCAAAAATTTAACAAAACAATTCTCCAGCTAGCGGTTATAGCTCAGTGGTAACTTTGCCTAGCATGCATGAGTCCCTAGGTTCAAACCCCAGGCCCTGCCCAACCATAAAAAATTCTCCAAGTGGAACTATGTTACATTTTCAATAATCTTTTATTATTATAATCAATCTCTAATTTGAATGACCTTGCTCTCAGAAAGTCTTCAAGCGAACAATTAGTAAAACATAAAAGAATTAGTTTGATGCCAATATCTAGCATAACCCAAAGTCCAAGAGTCAGAGTGAGGGTCACCACACACATACAAAAAAAAAAAAGAATTCTTTCAACATAATGTTTAGAAAATCGCTAAATGTTAAATTTATTGAGAAGTAATTCTTTTTTTGTCCTTAAACTGAATCCTCAAATTAAGAATGTAAAATACAGTTCTAAGATTATAGTTAGTAAGGAAAAAAAAGAACGATTTCTGAATATGACCTCCAAAGGGGCAAAAATTAAAATTAAACTAAGTCACATTCCCAAGACCCAGTCTTTTCCAGAGACAAGATCTCACTATGTATCCCAGAATAGCCTGAAACTTCCTATGTAGCTCAGGGTGGCCTCTTGTGAACCTTCTGTCTCAGCCTCCTGAGTACTGGGATTACAGGCATACACCACCATACGTACAAAAAATCCACATGGCGGGGACAGAGGCTGGGATCACAGGCATATGCCACCAAACATGACAAAGAATTCATATCGGGGGGATAGCAAGGCAACTGTGCTGGGCATTGAACCAAGGACTTTGCACATACTAGGCAAGTGCTCTACCACTGGGCTCCATCTCCAGCTCTTCAGCTCTCATGATGTTTCTAATTAAGAAATCATAGGGAAATTTTTCAGCAGTCTTTTGGGGTTTTTTTGTTGTTGGGTTTTGTTTTTTTCTGTTTTTTTTGTTTTTTGGTTTTTTTTTTGTGCAACCAACGTTTGAACTCAGGGCTTCACACTTGCAAAGCAGGAGCTCTACCACTTGAGCCACACCTCCAGTCCATTTTGGTCTGGTTATTTTGGATATGGGATCTCATGAACTATTTGCCTGGCTGGTCTCAAATTTTAATCCTCCCAATCTCAGTCTCCAACTAAGTAGGATTACAGGTACAAAACACCAGCACCCAGCTTGGCATTCATTTTAAAGACAAAAAGTGTAAGTATTAAGACAAGAATTCCAAAAATAGTAACTCAAGCTGTATTTTATGCTGTTATCAATATTACATTTTAACTGTGTCATTAATCTTTTTTGGCAGTTCTGGAGCTTGAATTCAGGGCCTACACCTTGAGCTACTCCACCAGCCCTTTTCCTTTTTGTGATGTGATGGGTTTTTTCAAGATAGGGTCTCACAGACTATTTGCCTGGGCTCACTTCTAACCATGATTCTCCTAATCTCTGCCTCCAGAGTAGCTAGGATTACAGGTGTGAGCCACCAGCACCCAGCATATCATTAGTCTTTAAGCTAACTCAAGCACCATTTTTGGGGAACTCGGAAACACAAATATACTTAACAAAAATAAAACTGGAAACTATACTAAATTAAATAGCTCACTTACTGATATAAAGATATTTAGTAGGTTTTCCAAGGTTGGCAGTTGTGGAATGAGCTTCTGCACCACCTTACTGAAGGCTTCAAATATTGAGTGGTCATAGATACTAGTCAAATAAAAGCTGGAAAATACAACATAGGATGATTAATTTGGAAAATACATTAAATGCAGTGATAACTACCATAATACATACAATTTAAAGATTCTTAACATTTGTTTCCTATAAGTTCAAATATAGCCTATCTTGTCTATCATCCCCATCACTCAAGATGGTAAGACCATTTTCTAACCTGGCCTGTGGCAATCACTCCCTTCACTGCATTTACACAAAGCAACTGAGAGAACACCCAGGAATCATCTCCAAGGCAGAAACTTGACCGTTCACCTAAGCCTTACCAACCTGATCCCTAAAGCTTGGTTTCTTAAGCAACATAACTGAGACAAAAAAAAAAAAAGATTAAAATCCAAGAGAAAGCTACATGAGATATGTGGTATTTATACCAAACAAAATTCACACTTCTACAACACATCACCTCATCGTCTCTAAAACCAGCCTACTTACAACAGTAATCCTGTACCTGATGCTTTCTACCCCTTTGCTCTATTTGGTTTTCTTCATAGCATTTGTAAGTACCTAAAATTACAACATACTTTTATGTGTAGGAGCCTTTGAGCTGTGCCATTCATCAAAATGTAAGCTCCACGAGGAAAGAGGCTTTGTCAATCTTGCTCATAGCTGCCAGCCCACTGTCCTGAACAGTGCTCATGAGTATTTATTGAGTAAACAAGTCTATTGCCATACTACCCTGATCAACAAATACAACTGGTGCTTAGAATTTAGGTAAACAACCTAAGAAGAATGAAAGCCAGGGCCTTGTAGAAAACAGGAGAATGAAGACCTAAAACAATGTGCAGTAGAAAAGTAACACGTAGATTTAACAAAACATGAATTCAAGAGGGAGAGAGGCCTTTAAGCAATTTAAACACTGTGGACAATTCTACCTGCTTTTTCACTCAAGAGTATACTCATCATAATTGTATCCATAATATATTTATATGTACATACTACAAACTCAGGAATACAGAACTGTGTTGCCACTTTATAGTAATTTAAAGATACTTTCACGGAGTTGGTCTAAGAACCTAATCCTATGCAAGATGTGTGAGCACTGGGGCAAGTAAGGCCAAATGACCCCACAGGCACTAAGGAGAAAAGTATTGTTCCCCACCGCCACCACAGTACTGGGGTTTGAACTTAGGATCTCAGCTTACTAAGCAGGCTTTCTACCACTTGAACCATTCTGTCAGTCCTTAAGTGTTTCTTTTAGGTAAAAAGGTTAATAAAGTGAAGATTCTCCAAGGCCTGTGAGGCTTGGAGATGGATGGGGACACAAAGAACTTACAAGGCACAGAGCAAATTAGTAAGGTGACATTCTAGAAACTGGAAATCAAACAGCCTCATCCATAGACATAGCAAGTAATAAATACAGACTTGATGCAGGCTGGGGTTGTACCTCAGTGGTAGGACACTTGCCTAGCATGCACAAGGTCCTGGATTTGATGCCCAGCACCACTAAATAAATAAATTTTAAAAATTTAAAAACAAAAAATTAGCGGAAAAACCCTGTTGAGATTAACAAAACCTAGAGCCCTACTGGATACAGGGGAAAAGAATAGTTGTATCACTGGGGTGGGAAGCCCTAGAAGGGACACAGACGTGAAGGAAAGAGAATCTGAAAGACTCCCCAGGGGTACCAGGGAACACAGAACAAGCATGGCTTAAAATTCAGGTAAAAATTAGCAGCTGCATACACTGGCTACCCTATAATCCTATCTACTCAGGAGGAAGAGATTGGGAGGACTACAGTTTGAGGCCAGTCCAGGCAAAGTTAACAAGACTCCATCTCAAGCAATAAAGCTGGACATAGTGGTTGCTGCCTGTCATCCCAGCTACACAGGAAGCATAAACAGGATTATGGTCCAGGCTGGCCCAGGCATAAAGTGGAGACCCAATCTCAAATGAATGAAAGGCAAGCCAGATGCCAGTGGCTCACACCAGTAATCCCTAACTACTTGGAAGATCATTGTTTGAGGTCAGCCAGATAAATAGTTCGAAAGACCCCATCTCCAAAATAACTAGACCAAAATGTACTGGTAGTGTGGCTCAAGCAACAGAGTATCTGCTTTGCAAGCACAAAACCCTAAGTTCAAAACCCAGTCCCACCAAAAAAAATAAATAACCAAAAGCAAAAAAGGGGGGTTTGGGGCGGGGGTCATAGCTAAGGTGGTAGAGTTCAAACCCCAGTACTGCATATGTATATAAATATATGTGTGTATGTATGTGTATACAGTGTGTGTACACATACACATACGTATCAGATTCCTAAAAATAAGATTAAGGGGTTTTATGGAGAAGCACTTTTACTTTCTCTTATAAATGTTGGATTTTATTTTTTTTTAAACACGCCTACCTGTGCTTTAAAATTTTAATCCTGGCAAACTAGAGCTTGATGAGAATAACTAAAAAACTTTGGAGATTGAGGCCCAGGGTACATGAGGGGTAGGTGGAGAGTAGGCTTAAGCCTACAGGAAGCCCTGGTAATAGACCATGTGTCTCTCCTCTACTCCCCCTACCCCTTAAGTTGTTTTTATCAAGAGAACATTTTCTTAGGTACTTTTAAATACTCATTTCTACCTATATTACCCTTCCTCAAAAAAAAATAATAAGATACACAAAAATATCCCTCATGTATTTTTGGAATACAAATACACAGTCATCAATCCTAATTAGTAGGTGTGTTTAAATATAATTTCTTGATGATATTTAATTATAAACCAGCAGTCCTTTAAACTTAATAGCAGCACTATGCAAACTTACAGCACAAATTCACCTAACACAAATTTCAGAGTTCCATAAACTGTTTTAAAAACTATGATACATTAGAGTAAGTCCAGACTTGACAGTGTACCTCCTTTTAAAAGGCTCTTCTTCTGAGAAAGACACTATAAAGACCCAAGTCCAACTTTGGCGAGAAATGTGACAGAGATTTGTTATACTAAGGCAATGGGGGAAAAAGTGATGAAACTAAGGGGAGAAGTCCCAAAACAGATTTTTGCCATGAGGAAACAGTCTGACTCCAGTCTCTTGAGATGAATTTGCAAAAGCACCAATGAGGGTGTGGGGTGTGGCTCAAGTAGGGAGAGCACCTGCATAGCAAGCACAAGGCCCTCAATTCAAATCCCAGAAAATGCAAAGAAAAGAAAGTAACTTCTCAATAACACCACGCTCCCAAAATAACTTGGAATTCAACAAAGAAGAAATCAAAAACATTACAGAATTAGGAAAGGGCATACTGGTAACAGAAAGCTATAATGTTTGTAATGACAGAGATGGGAATACATTTACAGGGCTCTCATATCAAACACACATATTGTTTTTTCAGGGCTCTCATATCAAACACACATGTTGTTACCTAAGATGGAGTTTTTCTAGCCCAGCATCTGCAAGGTCATCATTGGCCCTTTGATGAATGTCCCTCTGTGTTTCTATTTTGTGATCATCAGACAGACCATCAACTTTGTGAATAAAAACCTCAAAATTCATGTCTGGGTTAACTTTGTAGGCTTTAGAAACAGTAATGTGAAGTCTTGTTAAAGCCTCCATGTAGTCATCCTGTAAGTCAGAACAAAATATTTTTTAAGAAGAAATCTTACAAAAGGCAAGTAATGAGTTAAGAAAGCCTCAAACCAACTCCTTCCCCAACCACAAAAAATATACTATCCTAATTAGTCATAAATATCCAAACACTCAAATTTACTAACTCATACCAATAAACAGCTCTTCAATTTCTTATGATAGAAAATTCAGTTACCAAGTTAACACCTATAATTTTAATATGGTAATATTAAGAAAGGAAAAGGGAAATAGACATTTCTTCCAAAGAGAGTTTTTAAAGTAATCCCAGCTCTGCCATTTACCAGGTATGTCACTTTAAGTTGCTTAAACTCTGCAATCTCAGTTTACTCATCTATAAAACTGGAATTATAATACCTACCCTCACAGTACTGTAAAGAAATTTGATCATGTATGTGAAAGCACCCATTATAGAGTCTATCACTCAAAAAGCATTCCTATCTAACACTTAAGCATACAAAAAGTAAGCTTCTTAAGGATAGGAACACATACCATTCATCTAACTGCTAGCCACAAGGTAGCCCTCAGTAAGTGCTTGCTGGACTAAATTCAGACAATTCAGGAAACTATTCATTCTAATGTATACTGACTCAGTCAGTTCTCATGCTCTTCCTAATATTGTGGGCACTGATGGGATCTCTTCAGTGAGTGATGTCATTATTATAATAGTTAATAAAATACAGCAGCATCTACTATTAACAAATAAAAGTAAAAAGCCAATGTCAACTGTTCATTAACTGGGAATGAAGGATGTAAACCACATGTCCTAACCACCTTATACTCTGGAACTGCATAATGACAAAGCCTGCTCCCCAAAACCTCTGCAGCTACACCACACTGTCAGGGAACCTACTGGCAAAGAAAGAAGCTGCAAGCACATGACAAAAGGGACAATTTTCCTTTGTTTCTACCAGGCAAGAGAAACAAACTTTATTCCTAACTACCTGGGCATCAATGACATATATCAATGCTCCCGTTCCCCTGAAGATCATCTCGTAGTCAAAGGTTGGATCAAAAAAGTCCATTTGCCCAGGAAAATCCCAAATCTGGAAATTCACAAAGGAGCTATTGGAAATGTCGTCTTTATAAATCTTGTTGGTACTTTCCAAAAAAAGAGTCTCATTGGGTGACATCTTATGAAACACCACCTGAAAGAGAAATAAGACAATTTTATGACTGCAGATTTTAATTCAAAATTTCACCCTGGATTGACATTAAAATTTTTGATCCTGTACAAAAAAAAGTTAAGGTAAAACTTGATTGCTAAATCCACTGGTACCCACTATTATTTTATTTCTAACAAAAGACACCAAATTAACTTCTATTCAATCTATTTTGAAGCTGAAAGTTTTTTTGGTTTGGGGGGGCGGTTTTAGCTATTTTAATTAACACAATATTCAGTACTAGTGTGACAGTCACTCTCATTGTTTGGGTTTTGTTTTGCTTTGCCTTTTGACAGGGTCTCAATATATAGCCCAGGCTGGCCTTGAATTCACAATCCTCCTGCCTATATCTCCCTAAGTGTTGCAATTATAAGAGTGCATCACAATAATGGATTTTTTTGTTCATTTTTTTAATAAAGGATTTAAACTTGTCAAAATCCACTTTAAGATTATGGAAGTGTTAACAGCTAAAGTTTAAATTTTATTCATTTAAGTCACTCAAATGCACTGGGTGCAGTACTGTACACCTCTAATCCTAGCTACTTGGGAGGCTGAGATGGGAGAGGATTTCAATTTGAGATCAGCCCAGGCAAACAGTTCCAGCCTTTTCCCCCGACCCCCTCAAAAAAAATAAATAACGAGAGCAAAATGGACTGGAGGTGTGACTCAAGCAAATAGAGAGTGCCTTTGCAAGCCCAAAGCCCTGAGTTCAAACTCCAGTCCCACCCAAAACAAAATTACTCAAATGACTACCTCAGACTCTGAGGAACAATAAAAAATGGAATACACTAGATCCTGCCCTTGCTGAGTTTGCAGCCTGAGTTAAAAAGTGAAAATGTCCAAAGAGGGAGGGAGGCCTTTGGGAGCAGAGAATAGGTAGCTCCCACAAAAAAAGAAATAGTAAAGGCAATTAATTGTTAATATCCAGAGTTGGGTGGGGATGAAGTTTTCTTCTTGCCTAGCTCTGGGTTCCTGGGTACCATTGAGAGAGCACCTCAAGGGGGGAAAAAACCCTCAGAAGCCATACAAATAAAACTACTTTGCCTCCTAGTGTTACTTTGTAGAAGAGAAAAAGTTACTTCCAAGGTTTTGTCAGTAACAAGTGAGATGAACTAAATTCAGTTTGCTAAAACTGATCAATGCACCCAAGACTTGTTGCAGAGGTGAAAAGCAAAATAAACACAGTAATAAAAAGAAAGCTACTTTTTAAAAACACCACATCTACAAAACATCACGAGATTTATTTCAGATAGGCCTTTGTAACAGAGTGGGAAGGGGAAAGCCCAGGGCTCTGTGATACCAATCTTATTAGAAGCTCACTTGTATGTAGTGAGGATACCTAATGGAAGAAGTCAACCCTGCCTCTATTTCTCCCTTTACTAAAAAGCATACAGCCCTCCTTTCCTTCTTGACTGACTCAAAATGAAAACAAATGCACTGATGTATTTGGGCAAAACATTCTCAGAAGTCTCTGGCCTGAGGTGATGGTGCACACCTGTAATCCCAACACTAAGGAGGTGAAGGGAGGAGGATCGTGAGTTCAAGGCCAATCTGAACTTGTCTCAAAAAAAAGCAAGGAAAAAAGTCTCGGAAGGTTTTTATAACAACACACCTTATGGGGAATATCGCCTGTCACTACAATTTACCAGGCCACAAGAACTCAAACAGGTGCGCTAAAAAATCCCCATTCCGAATGTTACAGCAAAGTCTCCTTCGGACCGATAACAAAAGTAGCAAAAAGCCCAGGTGTTAGTCACAGCTTTTTCTTACGCTGCTCCCTGGGGCTCGGCTGGAAATCCCTGCAAACCGGGGTCAGCGAAGTGAGAGGAGCAGGAGAGGGAGTCCACCGACTTCTCCACGTGGGAACTGGAGAGGGAACGTCGGGGTTTCGTCACTGCTGCAGGGACAGGGTCCCAAGGGGGCGGCGGCCTGGGCGGTGCCCTGGGCACCTGCCTGCCTCGGAGCAGTTTCGCCTTCTGCGACCCAGTGGGTCGCCGCAGAATCGGGCGAGGGGGCAGAGGCCGGAGTCCCAGCCGGTCAAGAGAAAGTGCGATGGGACTGCGCGCTAGGCCAGCGCGGCCGCCGCCCTCCCCCCGGCCACCCCTCCCGCGGCCACCTGAGCCCCGCGAGCCGAGCCGAGCGGAGGGGGCCCGGGGCAGCCCCACTCACCTTCTGGATGGAGGACTTGCCGCTGCGCCGCAGCCCCATGAGCAGAATCCTTGGCTTGGAGCTGTCAGCGCCCCCCGGGCCACAGCCGCCGCCGGCCCCCGCCCCAACGCCGCCGCCCGCTGCTGCCGCCTCCTCTTCCTCCTCTTCCACGCCGTAGCCGAAGTCTTTGGGGAACGAATCCGCCGCGCCGTAACTGCCGGCGAGGGGCGTCTCCTCCGCCCCGTACTGCAGGGACATGGTGCTGGACCGCCGCCGCCCGCGCCCTGACAGGCCAGGCCAGGCCAGGCCACCGCCTCCCCAGGCCGCCGCCGCCGCCGCCGCCCCCGGCAGCCGTGCCGTCCGGCCCACCCCCCAGCTCGGCTCTGATAGGCCGCGAGCCGGACCCCGACCTCTCATTGGCCGCCCGAACCGCCATTCCAGAGCAACAAGGTAGGTGGTACCCATCACGTGCCCGGAATCACCTGACTCGCAGCCGCGGAGGGGGGGGGAGGAGTCACGAGGAGGGCGGCCGGGCCGCGCCTCTAGCCCGGTTCCGGGCCTTGGCCAATCCTACACGCACCTCGGTCCAGCCCTGCGTCCGCTGTGCTCCTCGCCGCACCCCTGCCTTCTTCCGGGCTCCGAGAGCACCGCAAGGGGAGATGCTGTCTGAGCAATTGGGGGGAAGAGCTCGTTATCTTCCTACATTGGTACTGGCCCGATATTTATGCTTCCGATGTCCTGGGTACCTAACAAGGGCCTTGAAACTGAAACCCACTCGGACCTTGCCTGCCCTCAAGTCGGTGGAAGATTAAGTGATTGGACCTCTGCGTAGTAAGTACGAGAAACTGTGGGAAGGCCATAGGCACAAATGAAATGCTCGGGAATTGGGAGGGTGAGTCTGTAAGGAGGTGGCTCTGGGCAGGTCTAGATGATGGATGGATACTAATAGTATACAAAGGTATAGAGGAGCCACCCAGAAGGCAAAGCCTCAACCAAGGCAGGCAAGATCAGTGTGATAATGCATTCTAGCAGGTAGTTGGACAAATTCAACCAAGCTAGAACATCTTTCTTCAGTAGATCGCTGATAGCGGGTACTGCTGCCACTTCAAACCCAACAGGACCGTTCCCCTCTTTCCCACTTAGCTCCTCCAGTAATCCCATTCCCCCACAGAATACTGCATCTTCCATGACTTCCCTCAAATTAGAGATCAAAGGAATAAATGAGAGCAGACGCTTGTTACCAACCAAGTATGTTTGAGAAAGCTAAAGGAATTTTCGCTGTCTATCCCAAGAATTGGATATTTGACAAGTGGACTTAAGCAGAGGGGATGGCCTTGGTCTTCTAAGGAGGCTGTTTTTAGTTTTGGTTTGTTTGCAGTACTGGGGATGAAACCTATGGCCTCAGTGCATGCTGGACAAACGTTCTATTTATTGAGGCCAGAGACTAACTTCTTGGGAGGAGAAAGTATGCTAGTGTAGGTCTGGGGCTTCAGTTAGGCATGAACCCATAGGGATCATCTAGCCCAACCTCTCACCTAAAAAAGAATCAACTATAGTGTCACTAATAGACATGCAGAATGTACTTAAATGCAGCCGTTCCTCCCTATCCATGGAAGATTACCTCCAGGCACCCCCAAATCCCATGAACAGATTAAGGCTACGCAAGCTCCTTATATAAAATAGCCAAGTATTTGCATAAAACCTACATACACCCTCCCGTATACTTTCTATCATTTCTAGATTACTTATAACCTAATGTAAATGGTCTGTAAATATACTGTATTGCTTGGGGAATAAGGACAAGGGAAAAAAGTCTGTACATGTTCAGTACACAGTTTTTGTCCAAATATTTTCAATTCGCGGTTGAATGCATAGATGAAAAACCCCTGGATACAGAGGATGGGCTACACTTCCAAAGGAGCGCTATCTCAAAAACAGTCAATTATGGCAGTTTTGTTTAAAATTTCTTATCAAACCAGCAGTCACTCTTAAAGATCATGGAAAGAAATAGTAGTCTTCATCTTTTTCCTAATAGTCCTTCAAATACTAAACTACAGTCTTCATTACCCACCAAAAGTGTTCTCTGTCCCCTCAATCATTCTACAGTGATGTCCAACAGTGCTTTCTGTGGTGAAATGTTCTATACCTGTACTGTTGAATATGGTAGCCACCAGCCGCATGTGGATTGAGCACTAATGTTGCTAGTATGATTGAGGAACTGAATTACTTTAACTGCTACATGTAGCTGGCGGCTGCCACATTTAACATTACAGCCTTATAAAAATTTTCAAATCCTCTCTCCCTGTTAATCATTCTTTTAAATGCATTCAAGCTTCTGAACATCCTTCAAGTATCTGGCACTTATAACTAACCAACCCAGCCTTCAGGATGACTAGTTAGTACCTAAGACAGTATTTCCATTAATGTTTTCCAGAATGGGATTTTTTTTTTTTTTTTTTTTTTTGCCATACTGAGGCTTGAACTTAGGGCCTATACCTTGAGCCACTCCACCAGCCCTTTTTTGTGAAGGATTTTTTCAAGATAGGGTCTCACAGAACTATTTGCCTGGGCTGGCTTCCAGAGGTGCTCTTCCTGATCTCTGCCTCCTGAGTAGACAGGATTACAGGCGTGAGCCACCAATGCCTGGCCAGAATGGGATTTTTTAAAAAGCATACATGGGTTATAAGTGGTTCACATTGATAATCCCAAAACTAGTACTTTGCCAGCAATTCTGCCTAACTTGTATAACTGCATTTTTAAAATCTAAATATAAGATTTGATATTTTAACTTTTTCATTTAGGCCTAGTAGTTTGGGTACTCCAGATTATCATTGTAAAATTTTCCCATATAGTCTACCAACAGACCTTCCAATTCTGTGGCACCTATCAGATTTGACTTTACTACCATCTGATCTGAATGTAGTCCTTTAACAGTTTGCAAGGCACTTTCACATCATTATGTTTGATTTTGATCCTTGTAACAAACTTGTGAGGTAGGCAAGGTGTGAAATTTGTATTTTATAGATAAAGCAGAGGAAGCATAGCAGGAACTGAACTTATGGGATCCATTTTCTATTCCATTGAGCATCTTATATATAGTCTTCATCCAAATTCAGATAGATGTTCAAAAGGACCTCCCAGGGCAAAGCTGACCCTCAATTCTTAAATATTGCTGGCTGGCACTGCAATTCATACAGGTCAGTTCCACCCAAAAGTGTGATTATGTTGCCATTCTGTGTAGAAGAAAGGTACAAGAGGGCGCCTCTGACGCACGGACATAAATAGTAATGCTGGTTCCCTGGGAAAACAGGGAAATTCTACTTGTGTGTCTCCACAAGGGGACTACCATACAAATTGCTTAAAGAAGTCAAGTCTTTCTCTTCCAGAACCTTCATGGGGCCATGTTTTATTATTCTTCAGGTTCTTAGCACATCTAAACCATGCTGTAGTTATTTATATACATGTCTCCTAACCTACCTCAAGTCATTCATCTTTATCATGCACAGCACCTAGTCTACTGCTGTCCATGCCAGAGGCACTCACATTGGTAAAAGAGAAATCTATCCATGTGAATGTTCTCCAGTAGTTTCTGGCATCCCTCCCAAAACAAACTTGTGACTGCCAACATGACTGATTACAGTGCCCCTATAATTAGCTTGGTCCTGGTTGTTTCCAGCAGGTGCCTTTGCTAGTTAAACCAGCTTTCACTGGATGAGTGTTCTGAACAAACAATAGACAGGTTCTCTAACAAAAGGGGCAGAATATATGAAACAGGAACATTTCTTTTAAATGTTAATCTACCAACTAGGAAAATAAGAGATCAACAAAGCATCTGACTGTAAGTATTCCAAAACAAAGGCAAAAGGACTACTAAACGAGAACATAGTGCTTTACCGTTTACAAATCTTGCATATACATTCTCATTTCACCCTCACAACAACCCTGTGAGGTAGGCAGCACAGATATTCTCACTTAACAGATGAAGAAAGTGAATCTCAGAGGGGTTAACCAGTGTGCCCAAGGTTCTAGAGTTAGTAACTAATTTGTATAAATATCAGTCTTTGGCTAAAATTTCAGCACCCAACCTCCCGTCATTCTTGCCCTACCTACTTCACAGGGATAATGAAGATAAAATGAGTTTAAGGCTAGAAAAACAGTTTGAGGGAAAAAAAGCACTATAAAATTATACCCATAAACTATAACTGTCCATGATACATAGTTCATTCTCCTTCCCATCTTAGCTTGTGCATGAACTTAGAATATTATATTACCTCTGTTCTGTGCTCAACTAAGCAGTTAAGTATGACAGGGTAACAGTGTGATCCTATTAAAGTTATATAAATTACAATCAGGGTACCAGCTTTATTACACAAATTGAGAACTAACACAGAAAAGCTAATGTGCAACTAGGACCCATTACAGCACATAGCAAAGCAAGGCAGCATTATCAGATAGGCATGATTGCATAGAAGGAAAATGTGGTGTCAGAGTTCAAACTGGCACACACACAGCTACCTAAGGCAAAGTGGTGGCAAAAAAAGTTATTTGTGCCTCAGTATATAAACGAGAAGATTCATGGGAACCATACAAAAGCATGTGTTTTTTGTTTGGGTTTTTTTTTTTTTTTTGGTGGGACTGGAGTTTGAACTCAGCTTCACACTTGCAAAGCAGGTGCTCTATGGCTTGATTCACACCTCCAGTCCATTCTGTTCTGCTTATTTTAAAGATGGGGTCTCTCAAACTGTCTGCCCAGGCTGGCCTCAAACCATGATTCTCCTGATCTTAGCCTCCCAGGTAGCTAGGATTACAGGCGTGAGCCGCTGCAAAATCATCTTAAGTCACACAGATCTCTCAGCTGCCAACAGGGAATATAAACACCATCATCTTCATTGTGAAGAATGATTGCACCTATGCTCTTATCCTGAACTAAACCAAGGAATAGCTCCATTCTAAAATTCCTGAGCTAAAATGCCACCAGTACCATCATTCCTAATCAGACTAATAAGCAGAATGTCTTTTAAAGTAATGAATTGGATGACTATTTAAGATTTTCTTAGGATTTACTTTGGACTCTCCTGCTTTAAGACCCAAAGAAAGTTATATTGAGCTTTTATTGGTCATTCTAAGTATATGTGTTTATAACAGTTAAAGTGTGGTAAGTGAATTTAACATATTAAAAGAGTTTTATAGCATCTGTTCAGAAAAGATTATATACTATACAAACTATTCAAGTCATACAAAACCATTTTTCAGTGTCTTTTCAACTGAGAAGAATCCTATTCAGCACGCTTCTCCTCCTGAGGTGGTTCATACTGAGCAAGCTATGGGGCAAAGACAGAGGAGTTTAGGTGAATTTTATTCTAAATTGGGTAAAAAACCTACCAACAAAACAAAATGAGTTTAGAAGTTATATTCACTTAGTATTAAATCAGTAAAGTTTCTACACCTATCTTTTTTAAAACCATTCAGCGATTTAAGACTTAATACAAACAAACCTAATAAAAGCCCTTTTCTTATAAACCTTTTATTACTGGGAAACTAAAATTTCAATTTCAGTTCATGACTAAACTGTTCAAATTCTTGAAATGCAATAATTTATATCTTCCCAAACAAGCTGTGCCTTATAATAAAGAACTGTCTTCCCCTAAAAAGTAGAGGGAAAGGGTTGTAGAACATGTCTTACTTTAGTCAGTCATTGAAAAGTGATTAATGTCTTTGACTTGAAAGGTGTCATAGCATCAAAGAGCAATTGCACATTGTGGAAACTTCGATCACTTAGGAAACAGCATTTTCTTTTATGCTAAGTTATGATACCTAGTAAAAATACTTGGTTAAGATTTGGGTTCTTCCAATTAGCTGTCAGACTTGAAAAACATACTGAACTTCATTGTGCTTTAGTTTCCTCACCTACAAAAGGGCCAGTGTCCCTGTTTCACAATCTCACATTATGAGAAATACCTTCAGTAACATGTGATTCAGAATGTAGTAAAACCTCAAAGACTTAGAGTTGACTCAAAGAAGTTTATGAAAATCTCGTGGGAGTTTGAACAAAGAAAAAACTTTAGCAATAGATAAAATTAAGTGCAGTTTGCTTCTATAAATTTGTTGACCCAGGGCCACCACATATGACAGTACAAACTAGTACTGCACAGCTCTTGGAGGTACTACTCATAAAGCAGTGGCCTAGACTGACCTAAGCTGATTTAAGAATCTTCGAACTCTCCGTTTCTTACAAGCCGTATTAACCATATTCACATCCTTTTGTTGATGTAGATTCCCAAGAGCCTCTTCTTGACCATACTTTGCTTGTCCTATTTACAGTTTGTCTTGTGTGGGGCAGAAGTTCGCCTTGCATTTCATTCAGCTTGATAGTCACCTTCCTCCTTCCCTGGCTGCCCATTTCAGTGAGATTCTCAGTTTGGTTTCTGCAGTGCTGGGGCTAGAACCCAGGGCCTTGCTCATGCTAGGCAAATGCTCTACCATTGAGCTACATTCTCCAGCCCTTTAGTGAAGTTTTGATCAGATAATCTGTAGAGGTGAGATTAGTTTTAAATGAATTCCTTTAAAAATTTTACCTTTGCTTTCAGTTTTTTATTTTCTTCTACAGTAGCTTCATATTTTTCTTTCATTTCTGCCAATTCTAGGCGAAGCAGCTCTATTTCTGGATTTTCCGGCGTAGCAGCTCCTAAGTGATGCTTTAAAAAACTAACATCAATGTTAAGAAATTACTTCTTAGGGCCGAATGAAACTAATGCAGTGTTCAGAGTAGCCCTGTCCAGAGTCACCCATCAGACAACCAATATTTACCCAAAGACCACTGTCAAAAAACTCCAGAGAAAATAACTTTTTCAATAAGCAAAAAAAGTATTTTAAAGACGATCTATGTGAAAAAAATCAAAATTTCAATAATAGGACTTTCTTCTGACTTCAAAAATAAAAAGGATACTCCAAAGCACTATTAGGTTTCTCTGGTTCTTCATATAAGGCTACCAACACTGCAAATCAAAAAGCAAGAAAAAAGCAACAATTAAAAATCTTGAATTTGAATGAATGAAATATTCTCTAACTCAGTAAATATTAAGTTCCTGCTATATTCAAGCCACATTGCTAAGACTGTCCATAGAATGGTGAACAAGCCAGATAAGGTCCCTGCTTCCCACAAATTTATAGTCCAGTGCAAAAGATAAGCAAGGAACTAGACAAAGAAACTGAGTATCCAGCAGCAATACTGGTATGAGTTATGGAAGCACACTGGAAAAATACTTAACTAAGCCGGGGACATCAGAGAAGGCTTTCTCACCAGAGGGAAAGACAGGAGGCCTAGTGAAGAGTGCTTCGGATAAATGGAAAGGTGGTCAGGGCCAGCCTTGGGAGGACCATGTACGTTTTTGCCTGGACTTTGATCGTAAGGACAGCATACATATAATTAAGCAGTTCAAACAGAGGAGTGAGAGGATCACACCTGACTGCTGTGCAGAAGACTGACTGAAGTGGGACAAGAATGAAGGCAGTAAGAACAATTAAGAGGTGATGTAGTAACCCAGTTAAAAATACAGTGATAGAGGTGTGGGAGAATAAAATTTGAGAGAATCAATAGGACTGTGGTAATTACTGGAAGAAGCTTTCAATTCATAATGTTCAAGAATGAAGTCTCATACATAACATGCTTAAATAAATAACCAACAACCAAAACCTTTCCAGGCTAATAAATGTATCCCGATCAGCGTTAAAATACGTACTACAGTGGTTTCATATCTAATAGCTCATGTGAACACACCTTAGTTATCTAGTGAACACATTCCTCCTGGAATTTATTTTTCCGATAAAAATTTCTCTAACCCAGTGATGAGGCCTGGCGCTGGTGACTCACACCTGTAACCCTAGCTACCTGGAGGCTGAAACTTGGGACTGCCATTCAAGATCAGCCCAGGCAAATAGTTCGCAAGAGCCTATCTCCAAAAATAACCAGAGCAAAATGGACTGGAGGTGTGGCTCAAGCAGTAGAGCACCTGGTTTGCAAATGTAAAGCCCTTAGTTCAAACTCCAGTCCCACCAAAATAAAAATAAAAAGAAAAAAAAAAAAAAAACCCTTTTGTGAGTGGAACCCTCTGAAAAATCTGATAAAAGCAAGATGTTAACTCCATACAGAAAAAATTGTGCATACCTACACTTCAACTTAAGTCCTATTCTCAACCAATTTCCATGTGTTCCATCTGTCTTTTAGGGTTTTTGTTTTGTGGTACTGAGACTTGAATACAATACAGGACCTACACCTTGAGCCACTCCACCAGCCTTTTTTTTTTTTTTTTTTTTTTTTTTTTGGTGAAGTGTTTTTTTCCGAGATAGGGTCTCAAGAACTATTTGCCCAGGCTGGCTTCGAACCACCATCCTCCTGATCTCTGCTTCCTAAGTAGCTAGGATTACAGGTGTGAGCCACTGATGCCCAGCTGTCTTTTAAAAGTTTTAATTTAAAATAATATACAGTATGAAAAATATCAAATGAGCAGCTACTTTTAAATTATATTGAAATATACTTACGGCACTATTTTTTGAGAAACTGGTATATTTACCACTATCCTCTGGTCTTCTCCTTTCAGTATCTGTTACAATATTCTAATCCCTTTATTGCCTTTTCATTAATTACATGTGCAAACCTGTTTCTTCTCCCCTTCGTTTTCACTAGTCTATATTGAATATTAATTTTGTAAGACATGAATATTAACTTTCCTCCTCTCTTACCTCATTTCCCTCAGCTTCTAAATTTCTGTCAGTAGTAGTTACACAGTAAATATTTGCAAAGTGTAAGTGTAAAGTTTCCTGTGCTTTTCTGTGCATGAATGTACTTCCTTTTAATCAGATAAAGAGAACTCTATACTAAATCATGTTCCCCTTTTTTGCCTTAGCAGCCAGCATTTTTTTAGAGGTTGATCATGTGCTCAAAATAGCTAACATGCCCTCTCTCTTCTAAATTTTTTTTTTTTTTGCAGCACTGGGGTTTGAACTCGGCCTCACCTTGCTAGACATGTGCTCTACCACTTGAGCCACTCCACCAGCCCTTTTATATGTTGGGCATTTTTGAGGTAGGGTCTGGTTTGTTTTGTTGTTTTTGGCCTGGACTGGCTTTAAACCTCCATCCTCTTGATCTCTGCTGCCTCCTTAGTAGCTAGACTTACAGTGTGAGCCTGTTTGTACTGTGTTGGAACTCAGGGCCTTGCTCTTTCTAGGTGGCTAGGCAGGTGCTTTACCACTTTGAGCCATGGTACCAGCATACCAACTCTGTACCTTTATCCTTCCTCTCTGTAGTATTTTAATGTTACAAGCAGTTTCAAATCCTCTTGGAAATAGCCAGACAAGAAAATATAAATTAAATTTGTGTAAAGCAAGCTCCTATGTTTGAAGGTGAGAACGAAATTTTAAATAAATCATATCAATAGATGCTATGTTGACTGATGATATTTAGGAGACTGTAAGGAATGGAGTGGTTAGATTCCTGTGTCTATGTGCAAAGGAAAAGAGCCCCCATGGATTTCCAATTTCTCATGAAGGGAAATCCTTGTGTGGCCACAGGCTGTGTCTCTTCTCTCTATCTAGCTATCTCATACAAGTGTCACTTTTCTGTCATCCCGTTATCCAGCATCTGGCCTTCTTACCCAGGTTCAGTAACTCTCATCCAAAATATCGGATTTTTTTTTTTCCAGAGTTTGGAATGTTTGTATACACATAATGAGGTATCTTGGGGAAAAGATCCAAGACTAGCCACAAAATCCATTTATGCTTCTTGTACACCTGATGGTAATTTTAGACAATATTTTTAGGCTCCTATGTTTTGACTGTGACATGTCACATGTAGTCAAGTGTGGAATTTCTCACTTGCAGCATCGTATCCTCAAAAAGTTTCAGATTCTGGAGCATTTTGGATTTCAGATTTTCAGATTAGGAATGCTCAATCTGTATTTCCTGAAATTCTTAAGATCATACACTGTTTCTTTCTGATCAAAAGTTACCTTTTTCTGGGCACCAGTGGCTCACACCTGTAATCCCAGCTACTCAGGTGACAGAGATAAGGAGGATCACGGTTGCTAGCCAGCCCCAGCAAATAGTTTGTGAGACCCTGCCTCA